CGCGGCTCTGAGAGCTTGAAGTGGAGCCCTGTGTGAGGTGGTGAGGGCTCTCTGGGAAGGTTCCAGCCACAAGAAACTGCTGGTATTTTGGCACAACTGCAATACCTGAACACCCTGCTACCTGGACCGCTTAAAAGCACTAACACTTAGGAACCAATCTTCTTTTAAAGCTTACTGTAAACCCTGTCTGGGATTCACATTTTGCAAGTTTTATTTTACTTTCCTTGTCAGAAGAATGCTGCACGATACACATTAATGTCCGCATTGTACAGACAGGAAACTCAGGACCAGAGGTGTGAAGTCCCTTACTTGGGGTCACTCCGCGAAAGCGGCAGGACCAGGACTTGAGCCCACCCCGGCTGCGCCCCCCCCCCCGTGTTCTCCACCTCCTAAGCACCCCTGTTCCTCAGCTGGGGCCTCCTAAGGCTCTGTAACAGCCCTCCCCTCTGCCCATCCCCACCGCAGCCCTAGGCATGATGGACTGGGTGGCCCCTCTTCAGCTAGCTGGAAGGGTCTCCCCTGGAAGTTCCAGAAGGCTCGGCTCGGGACCATTTTTTCCTGATAAAAGAGGGGAGGCTGCAAAGTCACCTCTCAGTGGCATGGGGAGAAAGGCTAGAGAGGCCACAGTACAAGTCTGCACCATGGAGCCCTCAGGATCAACAGGACAGTGTAAGTCCAGGGCTGTGAGAACGGGATCTGGGGCCAGACTGCCAGCTTCAAATCCTGGTTCTGCCACTTACAAAGCTTTGAGATTTGGGGAAAATTTCTTCACCTTTCTGTGCTATTTGCTTGCCTGCAAAATCAAAAGGATGTTACCAACTACATGTTCCAATTTGGGCGTACATTTAAGAAAATACCTCTAAGAACCTAGCACAATGTCTGGTGCCCAATAAAGGCCCCATAAACATGACTCCGGGGATGCAGCAGGCAGGAGGTCTCACGGGGTGGGGACCACGCACCCATCTGGGACCTAGCCTCTGACACGTGCACACGTGGAGACCAGGAGCCCACATGCACGCGCCCAGCTCCAGGCGTGCTGCACGCGGCCAGCTCCAGGCGTGCTGCACGCGGCCCTGTATCGTGGACAGTGGCTGGTGCAGACAGAGGCAGTGGAGCCTGCTAGGGTCAGGGCCAGTGCCAGCACCAGGACCCTGGGACTCCCTTCCCCGCATTCTGACCGTGTCGGGGGAAGGGGGGAGCACCTGTGTGCTGATGTAGCTCCGAGAACCATGAATGTGTGTGGGGCATAACACACTAGAACAGCGTTCTCTGGGGTCCCATGCAGAGCCTGATGACTAAGGTCTGCAGCAGGCATCTGAGAAGGAAACGTACAGGGCAGCATTTACAGGGTAAATTCCTGCCACCTGGCCCAGCTTCAAAGCCTTTCTGGGATCGACCCTGAACTGCCTGTAGGGGCACAAAATACCACAGAATTTCGGGGGGTCAGCCTCCCCTAAAGCCTCTTGGGGTCCCTGGTGCTCTGAGAACTGATCTGTGCTCTATAGGAAAGAAAGGGACCCACAAGTGTCCTGGTTTCCCCAATGAAGTCAGCAACCATGGAAGAGCGGGGCCAGGCCGTGCCCTTGGAAAGTGTCCCAAGTTGGGAAGCTAGGACAGGGTCACAGGATTCGTAATGGCCTTGCCCGGGGCATCCAGCCAGCCGTACTGTACTTGCTCAGAGACCCTAAGGTGCCAGGCCCGTGTGTGTCGGAGCTTAAGAGCCTTATTCATTTATTCAAAAACGTGGAGAGCCTCAGTCCAGAGCTGTCAACGGGACACACAACGCTGCTCTTGCAGACAGTACATTTCAACAGAGGAGATGCTAAGCCGCGCTCCCTTACTTAATTACCGTTGGCAGCAGAGGCTAGGAAGAGGTGGAGGGCGCGGTGGGCTCGGTCCCTGAGGGCTCCTGCAGAGGGAGCACCTAAAAATCCAGGACAGGGCAGGCCAGCAGAGAGGGCCCCAGACGGAGGCCCATGTGGGGAGGGGAGGGCAGTCGAGGAACCCACATGCTTGTAGGGCCGGATTCCACAGAGCGGCCCAGGCTTGGAGGCTCGGCTTTGGCAGAAAACAAAGGGATGCCTGCAAAGGGTTTTAAGCAGGAGAGAACCCAGTCAGACCTGAGCTTCTAAGAGCTGGGGGAGGTGGGGAGAATGGCCAGGAAGCCCACATGAGGAACCGCTTGGGGAGGGCAGGGATGGAGCCGGGAGCCGCTGGGCAGGGACATCACGAGGCCGGGCCCTGGTTTAGACACGAGGTGGGATGGAGGGGTGGGTGGGGGGAGGTCCAGCCCAGAGCAGGTTCTCAGCAACAGCTGCCTGCCAGGGCTGCGGCGGGAGAGCTCTGCCTGGGAGTGGACCGGCCTGAGCCAGATGGCAGGGCTGCGCGGGATGCGGGGCTGCGCGGATGCCCAGGAGTCGGGGCTCGCGGCCAGCCCAGGTTTGGGGCTGGGCCACGGGAAGGGTGTGAGGTCTGGGAACAGTCCCTGAGTGGAGACAAAGTTGGTGACTTGGGGTAGACGGAGCCAACTAAGGGGCCGTCTCAGGGGGTCGCCTCCCCGCCCCACCCACGCTGGGGCCCCTTACCCTCCCACCTGGACGGAATAGCAGGAACGCCGGCCTCCTCCCAGCTCCTGCGTTACTGAGAGCAGGCCCTGGGAGAGCGGATGCTCTGCCCTCAGAAACCCGTCTGCTGGGGCCCAGGGCGGGGACCCCAAGGCTCACCCAGAATGGGGCCAGAGTGCTGGGCCCAGATCACGGTCAAGGACCCAGCAGGAATCAGGCCACCCCTGCCTGCTCTCTCCATCCACAGTCTTCTGCAGGGACCGCCCGGCCTCTGAGTGGGCCTCCTGGGCTGGCTTTGTGCCCTTCCTGGGTGTGGCTTAATCCCTTTGTCCCGAGTTACACTGGCACCAGGCCTGAATTATTCAACTCTTCCAGGGAAAACATAACCACCAACAAAAAGAATACATGAATGGCTTGAAAAGATGCCCAACGTGGTTCGTTATTAGAGAAATGCAAATCAAAACTACAATGAGGTATCACCTCATGCTGGTCAGAATGGCCATCATTAAAAAGTCTACAAATAACAAATGCTGGAGAGAGTGTGGAGAAAAGGGAACCCTCCTACACTACTGATGGGAATGTAAATTGGTGTAGCCACTGTGGAGAACAGCATGGAGGCTCCTCAAAAAACTAAGAGTTGCCATATGATCCAGCAATCCCACTCCTGGGCACATACCCTGAGAACACTCTGATTTGAAAAGATTACACGCACCCCAATATTCACAGCAGCACTATTCACAATAACCAAGACATGGAAGAAACCTACATGTCCACTGACAGATGAATGACTAAAGAAGATGTGGTCCATATATACAATGGAATACTACTCAGCCATAAAAAAGAAAGAAATAATGCCATTTGCAGCAACATGGATGGACCCAGAGAATATCATACTAAGTGAAGTAAGACAGAGAAAGACAAATACCATATGATACCACTTATATGTGGTGTCTAAAAAAATGATACAAGTGAACTTATTTACAAAACAGAAATATACACACAGACATAGAAAACAGACTTGTGGTTGCCAAGGGGAAGGGGCTGGGGGAGGGAAGGACTGGGAGTTGGGGATTCGCAGATGTAAACTATTAAACATACAGGACAGATAAACAACAAGGTCCTACTGTAGAGCACAGGGAACTATATTCAATAGCCTGTGATAAACCATCATGGAAAAGAATATAAAAAAAGAATGTATATATGTATAACTGAGTCACTTTGCTGTACAGCAAAAATTAACACAATATTGTAAATCAACTATACTTCAATAAAATAAATTTTTAAAAAAGCACACATGAGGGACTTCCCTGGTGGCACGGTGGATGGGGCTCCGTGTTCCCAATGCAGGGGGCCCGGGTTCGATCCCTGGTCAGGAAACTAGATCCCACATGCACGCTGCAACTAAGAGTTCGTGTGCCACAACTAAGGAGCCCATGTGCTGCAACTAAGGAGCCCACCTGCCACAACTAAGACCCGGTACAACCAAATAAATAAATAAATATTAAAAAAAAAAAGAACACATAAATGACCAAGTGAGCCTGGCTTGCTCATCACAACCCTCCTCACCTTTCCTGCTGGGGTCTTCTGCCCAAGGATCAAAAGTGGGGTCTGCAGTCAGAATGGCCATCATCAAAAAATCTACAAACAATAAATGCTGGAGAGGGTGTGGAGAAAAGGGAACCCTCTTGCCCTGTTGGTGGGAATGCCATTATGGAGAACAGTATGGAGGTTCCTTAAAAAAACTAAAAGAAAAGCTACCATAAGACCCAGCAATCTCACTACTGGGCATATATCCTGAGAAAACCATAATTCAAAAAGAGTCATGTACCACAATGTTCATTGCAGCTCTATTTACAATAGCCAGGACATGGAAGCAACGTAAGTGTCCATCGACAGAGGAATGGATAAAGACGTGGCACATATATACAATCAGTCAGCCATAAAAAGAAACGAAATTGAGTCATTTTGTAGTGAGGTGGATGGACCTAGAGTCTGTCATACAGAGTGAAATAAGTCAGAAAGAGAAAAACAAATACGGTATGCTAACACATACATATGGAATCTAAAAAAAAAAAAAAAGGATATGAACCTAGGGGCAGGACAGTAATAAAGACGCAGACATAGGGCTTCCCTGGTGGCGCAGTGGTTGAGGGTCCGCCTGCCAATGCAGGGGACACGGGTTCGTGCCCCGGTCCGGGAAGATCCCACATGCCGCTGAGCGGCTGGGCCCATGAGCCATAGCCGCTGGGCCTGCACATCCGGAGCCTGTGCTCCGCAACGGGAGAGGCCACAACAGTGGGAGGCCCGCGTACTGCAAAAAAAAAAATACGCAGACATAGAGAATGGACTTGAGGACACGGGGAGGGGGAAGGGTAAGCTGGGACGAAGTGAGAGAGTGGCATGGACATACATACACTACCAAATGTAAAACAGCTAGCAGGAAGCAGCGGCACAGCACAGGGAGATCAGCTCGGTGCTTTGTGACCACCTAGAGGGGTGGGATAGGGAGGGTGGGAGGGAGGGAGACACAAGAAAGAAGAGATATGGTGATATATGTATATGTATAGCTGATTCACTTTGTTATACAGCAGAAACTAACACACCATTGTAAAGCAATTATACTCCAATAAAGATGTTAAAAAAATAAAATAAAAAGATGAAATAGGAAAAAAAAAAAGTGGGGTCTGCTTTATTCAGAGGGCTAGAGGCAGACAAGCGGGCAAGGCCGCAGCCTCTGCTGGGTCCCAAGCGGGACACCAGGCCTGGCCCACTGCCCACCTGCCCCCGCTCCGCCCTCCTCACCTCCCGGTGAGCCCCGCTCGCCCCGCTCGCCCCGCCCCCATCGTCCCTCACCGCAGCTCCTCCCCAAGCCCGCTCTGTGCTCTGCGCTTCCAGGCTCCTGACTGCAGGGCCTCGGCTTCGCGGGCCTGTTCCTTCCCCTCCCTCGGCCAGCGCTCCTACCAGGAGGTCTCGCTGGGTTCCAGCAACACCTTCTCTCCCCGTCAGGCCCAGGGGGGTAGAATCTGGGCTGCTGAGCTCCACAGCCGGCAGGTCTGCTGACACCGGGCTGCGGGCGCAGAGGCCCCAGGAGCGCCCCTCCCCCCGCCTCCCCCCAGTCCAGGGCGGGGTGGTACCTGCTCCAGCTGGAACCGCCCCTGCCACGAGGCCCTCAGGGGCTGCGGGGGCTGAGCGCCGCCCTCCACACCTGCAGCACCGAGTCCCGGCGGGCCGTGTAGGGCAGGTGCTTGATGCGGAACCAGTGTCTGGGAACCACGTTCCCGCTGGGCGTGTACAGCTTCTCCCCGGGCCGGCCCAGGAGGCCGCGCAGGGCCAGGTTGCCCGACAGAACCTTCTCGTAGAACTCCACCCCGCCCCGGGCATAGGCTGCGGACAGCGAGGCCGTGCGGCGGTCCAGCCAGGCTTCCAGGGCGTGAGTGAGAGAGTCCGTGGACAAGGCATAGGCCACGAAGCCCGCCACTGCCGCCACCAAGTTGAAGGCGGCCCGCAAGTTCATGGGGCCTCCGTAGAGCCCCAGGGCGTGCTTGGCCCCCACGCCCAGTGCCCAGGTGCCCACCAGGCAGGCGGGGGCTGGCAGGGCCTGCAGGGCGGCCGCCCCGCTCTCCAGGTGCACCACCTCCCTGGCCAAGGCGAACTTCTGGGCGTCGTGGGACAGAGTCAGGGCATCTCTCAGCCGGGCGCCCGCTGGGCTCTGCCAGTCCACTCGCTGCCCGTGGACGACAACGGGCCGGTCAGTGTTGGTCACTGGGTCACCCAGGAAGCTGGCGGGGATGCCCACCACGGCCCCGGCAGGGAGTCTCGGGAAGCCGGCGCTCACAGGCTGGAAGGTGAAGGTGGTGAAGGCCTCGAAGCGGTGGCCCGAGGGGACCCCAATATCCTGCTGCACCTCCTCGAACAGGCTCTGCAGCTCTGGGGACAGGGAGGCTGGCTGGCCCTGAGGCCAGTACTGGTACAGCCACGGGACCACAGGATCCGGGAAGAGGTGGTACGAGATCTGAGCCCCAAACAGGCCTGCACAGGAACCCACCAACAGGGCCGTCCTGTGTCTCTGCACAAAGGCTGTGGCCCGCCACAGGGGACCTGCCATGAGGGCTGCCACCTCTGTAAACCTGGGCCAAGAGAAAGAGAAGTGAGCCAACAGCTCCTCGGGTCTACCTGCAGACTGAACACCCCCAGGGCCACATCCTCTTTAACGGAGGCAATACGCACGCACGGTAGTCAGAGCACAGGCTCCAGCTCTATCTCTGCATCGCCTTCCCCACGGGTCAGATGGGCATGTGACAGCGGCCCACCAGAGGGTGTCTGTGCTGTCAGTGAACACACACGCAACAATCGGTGCCCAGCAAGGAGCAGACACCCTTGAGGAAATGGCTGTGATTACAACTTTGATGCCCTTGGCTAGGCACAGCACCAAGCAACCAACCCCTCACTCCACCACCCACCCCTACTGAGCACAATCCCTAACTGACTCATGAAGCATGTTCCACTCACTCAGTCTCACTACGTGTTCGACACACTTCTGAGAGCGCTGCAGACATTATTTAATGACCGACTCCTTACACCTCTGTGACTCATTACACCAGGGAACACCGAGGCACAGACAGGCTAACTGGTCAAAATCCCAAACGTAAAGTGGCCATGCGGTGGGCGGAATTGTGTCCCTCCAAATTCATATGCTGAAGTCCTAACCCCCAGGACCTCAGAATGTGACTGTATTTAGACATAGGATCTTTAAAGAGGTAACTAAGTTAAAACTAGGTCATTAGGATGAGCCCTAATCCAATATAACTGGTGTCCTTATGAGAACAGGACACTAGGACACAGGCACAGAGGAAGGACCATGAAGACACAGGCCAGAAGGTGACCATCTACAAGCCAGTGGGAGAGGCCTCAGAGGAAACTAGCCCTGCTGACACCTTGAAAGACATGTCTCTCACCCAGTTCTCGTCACTGCAGCCCTAGCAGACTAATACAGGCCCAGTATTTGAACACAGGCGTCCACAGCAGATTTTTCATTATAGAGTATTTCTGATGATAAATTACAAACATACAGAAAGGTGGACAAAATAGTACATCATAAACCAACTTCAGTCTATCAAGTCATGGCCAGTCTTGCTTTGCCTCTAATCCCACACATACTCCCCTCCAACTGGTTTATTTTGAAACACATTCGGGGCATCCTATTATTTCATCCGAAAATATTTCAGTAAAAATTCACAATTATTTAACTTTAGCTTAAGCTCCCTGTCCTCCTGTCCGAGAAGTGTTTAATTAGCAAACTAATTGCTGCAAACAAGGGGGCAGCAGAGTCCTGAGGAGTCACATCACTTGGGCCTTTTCGCCAACAGGGAAACTGAGGCCGGGAAAGAAAGGTGCCAGGCGAAGGTCCCAACGCCCCCAGGACCACCAGCGCTAAGGCCGCGCGCTCCAAGGAGGCCTGGGGGGTGGTGCCGCCCATCCTGCAGGCAGCCCGGCGAGAAGGGGCCGCAGGACCCCTAGGCTACGCCCCGCGGCTGGAACACACCTCCGAGGGAGCCCGCCCGCAGCCGCACGTCAGCCCGGCCCGCTCCGCGCGCTCACCTCCGCCTCCGCAGCAGCCCGGGACGCCGAGCACGTGCGCACGTTGAGACCTGGCCAGGCGCAAAGCTCACCGGCCGGCTCTGCGGCCGGGGCTCCGAGGGCGGAGGCAAAAGGGCGGGACCCTTGGGGGCGGGGCCGGGACGCAAAGCACGCCGGCCCGGCTCTGGGGGCGGGGCCCCGGGAGCGGAGACAAAAGGGCGGGACTGGACGCAAAGCACGCCGGCCCGGCTCTGGGGGCGGGGCTCCGGGAGAGAGACAAAAGGGCGGGACCCTTGGGGACGGGACCGGGCCGGGGCGCAAGGCACACCTGCCCGGCTCTGGGGGCGGGGCCCCGAGGGCGGAGGCAAAGGGGTGGGACGCTCGGGGGCGGGGCTGAGCTTCCTTCCACACAGGTGGCCTGGAGCGTCCCGTCTCGCCCTGGAAGGACCAGCGTCTCCGCGTGGGTCAGGAAGCGGCCATTGGCGGAGCCCCCGTCGGAACCCAGGCCCCGTCCTTCCGCCGGGTCCCGTCCTTTCCCGTCGGGAAGCACTCTCTGCTGGCGGAGGCTCTGAGCTGGATTTTTATTACCATGGCCTCTGCTCCCGGCTCCTCCCAGGTGATCCGCACTGTACAGTCCACGGAGCAGCGTTACACCTGTCAACTCACTTTCCCAGCTGCTCTGTGAGAGGGTCAGGGGTCAGCCCTGCCTGCTCCTAGGCCTTTCCTTTTCGCTCTGTCTGTGGCTGCTTTCCCCTAGAAGGGCAGAGTCCAGTAGCGAGGACAGAGACAGTCTGCCCAGAGAACCTAAAACATTTACTCTCCGGCCCCTTGCAGAAAAGGTCTGTGGACCCCCTGAAGTACAGGTGAAGGTGTGGGCAATTTGCTGGTGATGGACCAAACACTGTAAAGTCACAGCGCAGTTTGGGAGGGCTGCAAGGGGTGGGTGGTTGGGACTACATTAGGGGATAAACAGGAAATAAATACAGGGATAAGAACCTGGGGAATGACGGATTACAGGGCATCTGATGGTTGCTTTTTTTTTTTTTTTCATTGTGGTAAAGTACACATAATATTTACCATCTTGACTATTTTAAAGCGTGTGGTTCAGTGGTATTAAATACATTGTGCAACCATCGCCACTGTCCCTCTCCATAACTCATCTTGTAAAGCTGAAGTTCTACGTCCATCAGACAGTAACTCCCATTCCCCTCCCTCTACTGTCTGGCAACCACCGTTCTACATTGTCTCTATAATTCTGACCACTAAGTATCTCATGTGAGTGGAATCATACAGTATTTATCTTTTGGTGATTGGATTATTTCACTTAGCATAATGTCTCCAAAGTTCATCCATGTTGTAGCATGTGTCAGAATTTCCTTTCTTTTTAAGGCTGAATAATATTCCATTGCATGAATATGGGAGATTTTGCTTATCCATTCACCTGTTGATGGGCACTTGGGTTGCTTCCACATTTTTGCTACTATGATCATGCTGCTATGAACATGAGTGTGCAAATATCTCTTCAAGACCCTGCTTTCAATTCTTTTGTGTATGTACCCGGAAGTAGACTTGTTGCATAATGTGTTAATTTCATTTTTAAATTTTTTGAGGATCTGGCGTCCTGTATTCCACAGGGGCTGTACCATTTTATATTCTCACCAACAGTGCTCAAGGTTCCAATTTCTTCACATCTTTACCAACATTTATCTTCTGTTTTTTTTGGATAGTAGCCATTCTAATGTGTGTGTGGTGGTATTTTGTAGTTTTGATATGCATTTCCCTAATGATTAGCGATTTTGGGCACCTTTTCATGTGCTTATTGGATATTTGTATATCTTCTTTGGAGAAATGTCTATTCAAAACCTTTGTCCATTTTTGAATTGGGTTGGGTTTTTTTTGTGTGTGGTTGAGTTTTAGGAGTTCTCAGTATACTCTAGATATTAATACGTTATCAGATATATGATGCAAATATTTTCACCCATTCTTGGGTTGCCTTTTTACTCTGAGGATATTGTCTTTTGATGCACAAGATTTAAAATTTTCATAGAGTCCAAACTGTTTTTCTTTTGTTGCCCATGTCTTTGGTGTCATATCCAGAAAATTATTGCCAAATCCAGTGTCGTGAAGTTTTTGCCCTATGTTTTCTTCTAACAGTTGTATAATTTTAGGTCTTACATTTAGGTCTTCGATTCATTTTGAGTTAATTTTTAAACATGGTGTTAGGTAAGGGTCCAAATTCATTCTTTTGCATGTGGATATGCAGTTTTCCCAGTAGCACTTGCTGAAAGACTGTCTTTTCCTCATTGAATGGTCTTGGCACCTTTGTCAAAAATCATTTGATCATATATACCAGAATTTATTTCTGGACCCTCTATTCTGTTCCATTGGTCTATATGTATGCCTTTTTTTTTTTGTAATTTTTATTGGAGCATAGTTGATTTACAATGTTGTGTTAGTTTCAGGTGTACAGCAAAGTGATTCAGTTATATATGTATGTCTTTATGCTGGTAATCACAGTGTTTTAATACTGTAGCTTTGTAGTAAGTTTTGAAATCAGGAAGTATGGATCCTTCAGCTTTGTTCTTCTCTTTCAAGATTATTTTGGCTATTCAGGATCAGTTGAGATTTTATATGTATTTTAGGATGGGTTTTTCTATTTCTACAAAAAAAAATGACAGGGATTATATTGAATCTTTAGATCACTTTGGGTAGTATTGCCATCTTAATAATATTAAGTCCACAATTTACGAACATGGGATATATTTCCATTATTTATGTTTTCTTTAATTTCTTTCAGCAATGTTTTGTAGTTTTCAGTGTACAAGTCTTTCACCTCTTTGGTTAAGGTCATTCCTAAGTATTTTTCCTTTTTGTTGCTGTTGTGAATGGAATTGTTTTCATAATTTCCTTTTCAGATTGCTTATTGTTAGTATATAGCAACTGACTTTTGTATGTTGACTTTGTATCCTGCTGAATTCATTTATTAGCTCTAACAGGTTTTCGTGCAATCTTTAGGGTTTTTTAAACATAATTTCATATCATCTATGAACAGACATAATTTTACTTCTTCCTTTCCAATTTGGATGCCTTTTATTTCTTTTCCTTGCCTAATTGCTCTGGCTAGAACTTCTAGTACTATGTTGAATAGAACTGGTGAAAGTAGGCATCCTTGTCATGTCCCCTAACTTAGTGAAAAATCAGTCTTTCACCACTGCTGTGGATTTTTCAAATATGGCTTTTATTATGTTGTGGCAGTTTCCGTCTATTCCTATTTTGTTGAGTGTTTATTCATGAAAAGGTGTTGAACTTTTCAAATGCTTTTTAAAAATACTTTTATTTTTTAATATTTATTTTTATTTATTTGGTTGCGCCGGGTCTTAGTTGTGGCACGCGGGCTCCTTAGTTGTGGCATGCAAACTCTCAGTGGCAGCATACATGTGGGATCTAGTTACCTGACCAGGGATCGAAGCTGGGCTCCCTGCAGTGGGAGCATGGAGTTTTAACCACTGTGCCACCAGGGAAGTCCCTCAAGTGCTTTCGCTGCATCAGTTGAGATGATCATGTGGTTTTTGTACTTCATTCTGTTAATGTAGTGTATTATATTGATTGATTTTCATATGTTGAACCATCCTTGCATTGCAGGAATGAATCCCACTTGGTCATGATGTATAATCTCTTTAATGTGCTGCTGAATTCCTATTTTGTTGAGAACGTTTGCATCAATGTTCATAAGGGATATTGTCCTGAAGTTTTCTTTTCTTGTAGTGTCTTTATCTGACTTTGGTATCAGAGTGATGCTGGCCTCTAGGATGAATCAGGAGGCATTCCTGCCTCTTCAGTTTTTTGGAAACGCTTGAGAAGGATTGGTATTAGTTCTTTAAATATGTGGTAGACTTCACCAGTGAAGCCGTAGGCTTCAGGGCTTCTCTTTGTTGGGAGATTTTTGATTACTGATTCAATCTCCTTACTTGTTATAGGGCTTTTCAGATTTTCTATTTTTTCCTAAAAATTTTTCTGAGGGGGCTTTTGGGCATGAAAGGAATACTTAAAGAGTTACTTATGTTTTATAAATTTATTTATTTATTTTATTTATTTACTTTTGGCTGTATTGGTCTTTGTTGCTGCATGCAGGCTTTCTCTAGTTGTGGCGAGCAGGGGCTACGCTTGGTTGCGGTACATGAGCTTCTCATTGTGGTGGCTTCTCTTGTTGCGGAACACGGGCTCTAGGCGCACAGGCTCAGTAGTTGTGGCACGCAGGCTCAGTAGCTGTGGCTCGTGGGCTCTAGAGCGCAGGCTCAGTAGTTGTGGCGTGTGGGCTCAGTAGTCGTGGCTCGCAGGCTCTAGAGTGCAGGCCCAATGGTTGTGGCGCACGGGCTTAGTTGCTCCGCGCCATGTGGGATCTTCCTGGACCAGGGCTCGAACCCATGTCCCCTGCATTGGCAGTAGGTGGATTCTTAACCACTGAGCCACCAGGGAAGCCCACTTATGTTTTAATTACTATTCAGTTGATTAAAGTATCAAGTTTAAATATCTCGTATCTCTTAAGCCTAAAAGCCTAAAACGTCAGTTTGCAAATACTGTTATCTTAATAAATTCAGAATATAAATATATATTCTCAGTCTGGGCTGCACATCAGATCCTCCGGAGAGCTCTAGAGATGATTACTGCCTGGGTCCTACCCCAGGAAGTCTGACTCAGCTGTTTCTTGGTTTTGTTTTGTTTTGTTTTTTTATACTGGAGTAGAGTTGATTAACAGTGCTGTGTCAGTTTCAGGAGTACAGCAAAGTGATTCAGTTATACATATACATGTATCTAATCTTTTTCAGATTCTTTTCCCATTTAGGTTATTACAGAATATTGAACAGAGTTCCCCGTGCTGTAGAGAAGGTCCTTGTTGGTTATCCATTTTAAGAATAGCAGTGATTCAGCTGTTGTTTTTGAAGCTCTCCAAGTGATTCTGACGTGCAGCCAGCCTATGCATAAGAACTGGAGTCATGCTGCCACACACGGTCAAAAGGCCTGCTTGCCACTGACCCTTCGCAGGGACTCCTGGGCCTGAGGCGACGCCCTCGCGCCCCAGCTGCTCCCGAGAACCCTCGCAGAGGCCTCATCCTTTTCTCCCAAGCCA